TATATATATATATATATATATATATATATATATATATATATAATGTTTTTGTATATATATATATAATTGTATTTATATATGTATGTATGAAAAAGATATTTAGACACACACACACACATACATATACAGAGGGAGAGAGAGAGATCACACTTATATATTCACGTCTTTCTCCATCTCTATCTTTTACTAAGTACCATTATCTCATTTATAGTAAAATAAATCGATAAATAAATAATTATACACGAGCATTTCCTTATATTTTCATTAAGATATTATTCTAGAAATTTGTTATAAGCCACTAAAACATTATCTTTTCTCATTATTCATCAGGAAGTGGATCCATTGGTAACAATAATCTTACATTAGGGTATCAAGAACTTTTTTGTATAGAGCTATCCTTTGTTATTGAATATGTATTGTAATTTGTTGCTATAGAGGCAAATAGTTATACTGATGGAAATTATACATTTTCCTTCAGGTTCCATACTTGAAGATGTGTTAGAGAACCTTTAATTCATGATAAATTAAACTTGCTGTGATTTGCATTAGGCTTATATCGTGTTTCCGCACCACTATGCATTGGCCTTATTTACATTAGTCGCATTGCTTTTTCCGTTACTATGCTTCCTAAATATGCTGCCATTGCACATTAAATGATTTCTACCAAGGAAAGTGCCATTTACACATTCCTGAAGGAAGTGCTGTGAAAATATGCTCGTTGCGAGAAATAAAGGAGTAGCTTGCTTTACGATATAAACAAACCGTTTCCGATCTCGTTAAGCGTTAGGAAATCCGGCCCCTGAATGGTTTGGTCACTGATGCAGCGGATCAACAAGAAGATTCAAGAACCGATGGAAGGTCACGCAGCCATCATGAATTGAAGACGGCAGTTAAATGAGAATTATTGTAGCGGTGAACACGGTCAATATTTGCACCGGTCAGAATATCAGGCAATTTGTAGCTTTGCGAAGGCACCGGCCTTTCGATGGAGTCAACGTCTTTCAGAAAGCGACGCCTGATCTCGCTTCCCCGTCCGCCCTTCAAGGAGCGCATCGATGGCAGTGAAAAGGTTGACGCTGCTAATGATAGTAATAATGGAGAGAGAGGAACAAGCAAGCCGCAATATTGATGGGACTATTAATATCACATTCTTTCCAGCGCCCTCATGTTGCCTGTGCTCGTAGCGATGGCGGTTCTGGCGCCGGCGGGCGTGGCGGGTGGCGACGCCGCGCCCGTGGTGGCGGTGGCGGGCGGGCGGGTAGCGGGCGCGACGGAGACCTCCACGAAGGGCAGGGAATTCCACGCCTACTACGGCGTCCCCTTCGCCAGGCCGCCCCTGGGGGAGCTCAGGCTCAAGGTTGGTAAAGAGGGAAGGAGATAGAGGTGTTAAACATTGAGACACAAACCATGGAACTGTGTGTGTGTGTGTGTGTGTGTGTGTTGGAACTATAATAGCAAGACTATAAGCATTCTTTGACTTCCTTTGAAAAGCAAGCCAAGAGACAGTCATTTGCTGTTACCCCATTTATTTATTTTTCACTTTGTAACCATTCCACGCCTGCCTTCTCAATGAATTTGCAAGCTAGACAAAATGCAAACTACATTATGAGGGTGTACTCTGTTTAAAATTGTGACAAGGAAAAGTGCATTATTCTCGCAGCTAAAAAACCTTCATGACACTCAGATGATAAAACGCTCAAGTTACGTTGAATTGTAAGGTACTCATGGTGTTGGTCAAGGTAAGGTAAAGTGGAGAGATAAGATTACAGAAATATAAAAAAAAATTCTCTCTCTCTCTCTCACTCACTTACTCACTCTCTTTCTCTCACTGTCTCTCTCTCTCTCTCTCTCTCCCTCTCCCCTCCTCTCTCTCTCTCTGCTAAACTTTCTCCATTGTACTGTATGAATTGATAACTGCAATGTATTAAATCCATTTCTCGTTTTCTTCTTCTCCCTCTCCGTCTTCCTTTTCTTCCTCCTAACATAATCAAGAGGCAATTCCAATAATTCTGCGTCGAAAGCTACCAAGGTCGATGGTTGTTTACGACAGTGAAATACTTAGGGTTTCCCTTAAGCAGTGTAAAGCCACCTAATCGTATAACCTGTGACCCATAAAATAAAGTTATATAAAGACAGGTAGAGAGGTAAGGAGATGTATACATACCAACGCAGAAGAACAGCCAGAAATAATGTGAGGCTTCGTCATAAGTGAAGACATAGATGATAAAAAAAGAGTCCATCAGGAGAGTCGGTGTCTCTGTATCTCGCCCACAGGACCCGGTGAGGGCGGGGAGCTGGGAGGGCGTGAGGGATGGGTCCAAGATGCCCCCGCCGTGCCTCCAGGTGCCCTTCGACTTCCCCGTCATGGGCATCACTTTGACCCCAGAGGAGCTGTTCGGTGACGAGGACTGCCTCTACCTCAATGTATTCACGCCGAAAGTAAGTGGAGCATATCGGGGCGTCCTTTTTATACATCATTGGAAGACGAAATCGGTCTTTTTGTTGTCATGTTGATTTAGAAAGGAAAGAAAGCAATTAAAAAAATAATTTATTTCCCGATCATCCTTTCTATCAGCGTTTTATCTTACAGAGAATGGAGTCTGCCGAGAGACTTCCCGTAATGGTTTGGATCCACGGGGGAGGATTCTTCGCTGGCGGCGCCCACGAGTACCTGCCTCACGTCCTCATGAACCACGACATTGTGCTGGTAGTTGTGCAGTACAGACTCGGCATCCTGGGTGAGTGGTGAAAGGGCAATCAGACTGCCATTCTACTTCAGAGTACCATATATAATGCTAAATAAAATATGTCACCTTCCTGAGTCTATATTTCTGATTTTCATCTTCCTATTTAACTGTTCATTTTCTCTGCAGGATTCTTGTCCACGGAGGACGAGGTGATGCCCGGCAACTTCGGCATGAAGGACCAGGTCATGGCCCTCCGCTGGGTGCAGGAGAACATCCACAGCTTCGGGGGCGACGCCGACAGGGTCACCATCTTCGGGGAGAGCGCGGGCGGCGCCTCCGTCCACCTGCACATGCTGTCGCCCATGTCCAAAGGTGAGGTCTAGGTCTTGCACAATCATTCTTATCATCTTCATCATGATTAGTATAATAATGAGAATGATATTATTCATGATCATCATTATCATTGTCATCATCGTCGTCGTCGTCAGCATAAGCAGCAGCGTATTCGTCATTATCATTATCATCATAAACATCTGCAACATCAGCAGCATAATAATTAACGTTATTATATCAGTACTTCCCCACCAGTATCATTCGCTAGGCACCGCATCTGACCCCAGCAGGGAAAGCAAATAGTTGTCCAAGTAGCATAAAAATTTATTTTGTCAAACAAAACAATACAGGAAACCTAATTCAATAAAACCCTAAAATACAAATAAATTGTTACTTGTTAACCAAACATTCCAAGAGAATATTGAAGAAAGATCCTCTTTTACATACATAGTGTATCTAGAGTTCATGACTGACTCAGGAAAAACAATGATAAAAATGATACACCGTCCAAAAAGTCATATCAGATACTGTAATTTCCTGTTCAGAATATAAGAATCAGTGATCATTTTAAGATATTAAGGAGATTCGCATTGGCCAAACTCTACAAAAAAAATGTAGTTAACACCAAAAGAGCATATCCCTTTCAGTTAACGCATTCAGACGTTAATGCAAGGGACGTGAAAGGATTATCACACATTTGTGATACTGTACTTCAAACTTTACACGCACACTGTATACTCCTACAGAAAGAATAACATTTCTCTCTCTCGTTAGGCCTCTTTTCTGGCGTTATCATGCAGTCAGGATCAGCACTAGCGCCGTGGGCTCACCGAGAAGAGTTCAGATCCGTGGCGGAGGAAGTGAGCCGATCTGTCGGGTGCGGAGAAGGCCTCGGCAGCCAGGGGATCCTTGCTTGTCTCCAGCAGAAGGATGGTCGCCAGTTGGCTGCCAGTCTCCAGGGCACTATGGTAAGAAGACGTGGAAATTACGTATTTTCAATCAAGATGTATGGTTTCTTTGATAAAACTACCGGTTTGTGATATTCCTTAATAACAGGTTTATGTTGCCCCAGAAATGGTTCCTCCTGCCTTTGGTAACTGCTCCCCGCACTGACGGGGATTTCCTGCCTGACGATCCCGCGCGTCTGATGCGTGACGGGGAGGTCCATCGCGTGAATCTCATGGCTGGAATCACACGGGACGACGGAGCCATCGTAACACAACGTTAGTTTTCCCTCTCGTATCTTATACACATAAAGAATCCAACAGGTAAATACAACTAAAATATGACATATTTACAAGGAAGATGCTCAGCATTACCCGAGGTATCATCTCCACTGCAGCCATGTTAGCTCGCGGAGAACTGATCGACGCCCTGCGAGAAAATTTCTCCGCCGTCGGCCCCGTCAGCCTGATGGTCGGACCCGAAGTCCCAGACCCCGTCGAGTTCAGCACCAGGGTTTACCAGCACTATCTTGGCGACTTGACCTTCGACCTTGACCGCATGGAAGATCTCACTCGGGTAATCGCATGTGTTAATGTATTCCTTGCTGGAGGACTTCACTTGTGACATCATTATTGTTATGTCATAGAACACTGCCTTCTCATTCCCCTCCATTTCAGCTTGCGTTGATGTCCCCTTTAAGTAATTTTCCTAAATCTAATTCATATTTGATTCCCAATTCCATATCCAGGTCATATTACGTGTCATGGCATGGAACACAATGCTGTGCCTGGAGACATCCTGCTTTTAGAGGCCTTGCATAGCTGTGCTCCTGCTACTTTTTTTCTCTTTAAGAAGTCTTTAGCATTTTTGTAATACCTGTAAAACGAACTCAAACTCTTAATGAAACCTATATGAACCCTAACTATAATAATCCCTTAGAATAATAAATTCCGTACAGCAAAACAGAATAATAATACATTGCTAATTCCTTAGAAAGATACGATAATAATAATGATGATACAACGTCAGTGCATAATTAATCTCTAAGGATATTACAATACTGATACGGGTTATGCAATACTAATATATAACAAATCTCTAAGGATAATATGGTACTTAGGAGATAATACAGTACAATACTCAGGTTGCCCCATCTTATAACCAAGATCTCAATCGCCAGTTAAAGACAGACTACACCTTCGGAGTGCCGCACGACCTGACGACCCTCTACCACGCCAAGGCTCCCGGCCTCGCCACCTACCGCTACGAGCTCAAGCACCGAGCCGAGTTGTCCATCGGAGATTTCTACGAGACAGACAAAGGGCGTCACTGTGAGTTGTTTGAGAAGAGCTCTCTAAAGTCAGAAGCTTTCGAAGTAGTTCTATCAAAATGTTAAAAATAGCCTCAATGAAACAGACTTCCTGGAGGAGGACATGATACACTTTCCTCAGGGATTCCTCACGCTGACGACCTGTACTACCTGTTCGCCGGCGGGCCGCTTCTCGCCCCCGACTTCCTGGCCGGCCGCCCCTCGGACCTGCGGCGCCAAGACGACCTCCGCCTCAGGGACATCGTCACGACCCTGTGGACCAACTTCGCTGCTACGGGGTGAATGCTGTGTGCGCGCGTTTTTGTATCTGTGTTTGCGTTTGTGTGTGTGTGTTTGTGTGCACGTGTATGTGTGTGTGCACTCGCGTGTGTTTTGCTAAATTGTGACCCTTCACTGATAGAGAAAATAATGCATTTTCGGAAAATACCGTCTTCAAAATAAAATTTAAGAAAGACCTGCACATAAACTGGAATAATATAATTCAAGAACGATTTTACAACTGTGAAATAATATATCAAACAAGGCATAACCCCCAAGGCATAGCGACAACTCACCGTGATGATTATGAAGCCACACCCCCACACACTTGTTCGACACCTGTTTGGCACCTGTTCTTTCAGTTCGTCACACAACACTACTGGTATTATTCGTATAGAACATTGTTAAACAGGATTGGTGGGAAAAGAGTCTAACATAACTTTATTATCTGTATAGATAAGGTGTATAGAGTAATTTTGGTCAATAAGCAGTGAAGAGGGTTCTTTGGCTCAGAACCAGTTACCCATTTAAGGTCTAATCAACAAATCGTTACAGTGAATGCAGACGTAAAACTTGGCTCTCTGTCTATGTGTTTGTCCACTGCGCTGGAATACCTGGCCCAATGGCCCTGTAAAGATTATATAATTGTATTCTTGTATAGTGGAATAGTGGAGCTGAAGGTATTAAATACAGAATTATTCTTTATTCTTCTTCACATTCACGTACGTTGACACACATAAACACACGCAAACACACACACACACACACGCACACANGGAGAGAGATGAGAGAGAGAGAGAAGAGAGAGAAGAGAGAGAAGGACAAAGGAAAGCAAAGAAAAGATCGGGGAGAAGAGAGGACGAGAGCAGAGGGGCGGACAGGAGGAACGGACCAGGACGGAGAGAGGTGAGGCAGGAGGACGAGAGAGAGAGAGGAAGAGAAGAGGAGATGAGGAGAGCAGAGGAGGATGAGAGACAAGAAAGACAAAGAAGGAAGGACAAAAGGAAACAGAAGGCAGAGCGAGAAAGGAGAGAGCTGAAGTGAGGCGGCCGGACTGGACGACGACGAGAACAGAGAGAGAGAGAGAGTGAGAGGACATGATGATGAAGGGGAAGAGTGACAGAAGAGGAGAGCGAGAGAAGAGACGCGAGAGAGAGAGAGGGGCGTGAGAGAGACCATCAAAAGAAGAGGGCAAGAAAGAAAGAGAGAGAGAAGGAGGAGAGCGGATCGACGAGGAGATGAAGAACTGATAGCCCGAAGAGAAGAGACGAGACTGGAGAGGGAGAAGAGAAAGAAGAAACTGAGACGAGAAGAGAGAGAGAGAAGAGAGAGAGGAGCGAGAGAGTAAGCAATACCTGAGAAGTAATATGAGTCCATTTGTGCTGCCGCACTCGACCTGACATAAACTCGCTGACTGGTCAAAAAATGGCCATAAGGTGACCCACGCTTGGTCACTCTCCTCGCCTTATTCTAATCGCTTATGACACCTATGAGGCTGAGGTAAGCGAGTGTCAAACAAGGGATCTATCTCACCTGTCACAAACAAACTGAGAATCAGATTATAGGTGGATTTGGGCGGGGGGGGGGCGGCTTTTAAAATCGACCTAAATGAAAAACGAAGGAGAAAAAAGATAATGAAAATTTGGACATACTCAAAGACCGAAACGGTACCCTCTCAGTAAGAGAATCGAGCGTGAATAAAACAACAATATTAGGTCATAAATACGTAATGTACCCTCAAGGTAAATTCAAAACTCTGAAGCTGTAGTTAGAATTTATTTGATAATGTTCGTAAGTAACAGGGATTAAAGGTTTAACTTCCTGATAGCTCGTGTTATAGATCATAATAATTATTGAGGCTTTCGGTGCTAAACCTTATGACGCGCTTGGTTAAAGACAGAGAGAAAAAGAGAGAGGAGAGAGAGAGAGACAGGAGAGGAAGACGCATGAGGAGAGGCGGAGAGGAGAGGGGAGACGAAGGAGAGAGATGAGAGAAGGAGAGAGAGCGAGAGAGAGACGAGAGAGAGGAAGAGATGAGATGAGACGAAAGGAGAGAGGAGAGAAAGCAAAACGAGGAGAGAGGGAGGGAAGAAAATTCGGGTCTTAGAACCTGTACATCCCCGCTTGCGCTGCTCAGATGACAATAATATCACAGAGTACATACAAAAAGAAGTACAAACATATACATGTTCAACGCGATTGGCACCGTAACAGTTGCTCAACGTTACGTACTCTGCCAGGCTAGATAGGGCACATATGTTTTACTATCTCAACTTACATGCAACCTTAAATTATGATAAACTGAACAAACTATTATATGCACACCGACCGGACGACTACACACAACAGTACTATCACCCCGCCTTCGTACATCTGATCGCTCTACGCCTTGTATGTGAGTTTATGCCACAAACGTCACCTGACTTTGTACTCAGAACACAAACATCAGGTAGTTTTTTTTATAATAAACAGAAGTCGGAGACATCAATAAAATCAAGGATTATTTGTTGTGACAACTAAGATTGACCTCGGCTGACCTTGCCCCAGGTAGGTGTCAAAACTCATTAAAAAGGTGAGGAAATTGACTGAGCACGTGGTCACCTGTGCCACTGTTATGACAGACACGAGTTTTTATGACAGGGGAGTGCGCTTGAGGGGTTTGTCACTCCCAGTGTTATGGTGCTAACGAGCTCACATCAGAGTTCTTACTTACACACTTATGAGGTCATGTGAGGTCAAAAAAAGCTATAGAAAAATAAGGTAAGCTATAAAAAAAAAAAATCTTAAACTATAAATGTAGCTTATGAAAATATATATCGTAAATTTAAATAATGAAGGATATTTGCACAAATGTTATGAATTAAAGATATATTGATACATGTAAATAGTGAAAGACACATCACATGACCTAAGGCGGAGATTGACCCAAGCTGACCTATCAGAACCTATGACCTATGAGAGACTGACAAATAAAACAGAACAAATGAGTTTTTGTAAGTTCCTGTTAAGCTCAAGCATGAGACAGAAGCTCGTCCAAATGACAGGAGTAAATAGGCTGGTTGGTCTGGTAAAAACTGAGGATTACAGAGTGTGAAGTCTCTCGCCTCCGGCTTTCTCAGACGCAGGTCAAGCCAGGTCAAATACAATGAATGTTGTAAAAATAAAAGAGAGGGAATGTATATCAGTTCTATAGAAAAGGATTCACACATGCTTTTTTTTAAACTTTCTTTTTTAAACTCTAAGATTAGGAATTTTACTGTGTACTCACACGTTATAACACAATGGTGCACACACACACACATAGAGGAATAGAGAGGAGAGGAGAGACGGAGAGAGATGAGAGAGAGGAAGAGAAGGAGAGAGAAAGAGAGAGAGAGAGAAAACAGAGGAGAGTGGGGGAGGGGAGAAGTTTCGTGCAAAGAGAAAAAAGGAAAAAGAAGAAAAAATAAGTTCATTACAAGTTCAATGTTTCACTAGTAGAGTTTTACTATGAACGATTATTATATCACAAATCTACGTGTCTACTTGTATGTGAGTTTACTGCCACAAACAATCACCTGACCTTTGTATCAGAACACAAACACAGGTAGTTTTTTTTTATAAACAGAAGTCAGAGACCATCAATAAATCAAGGATTATTTGTTGTGACAAGTAAGATTGACCTCGGCTGACCTCGGCTGACCTTGCCCCAGGTAGGTGTCAAACTCATTAAAAAGGTGAGGAAATTGACTGAGCACGTGGGTCACCTGTGCCACTGTTATGACAGACACGAGTTTATGACAGGTGAGTGCGCTTGAGGGGTTTGTCACCTCCAGGTGTTATGTGCTAACGAGCTCACATCAGAGTTCTTACTTACACACTTATGAGGTCATGTGAGGTCAACAAAGCTATAGAAAAGTAAGGTAAGCTTAAAAAAAAAAAAGTATCTATATATATATTAACTATAAATGCAGCTTATGAAAGATATATTCGTAAATTTAAATAATGAAGGATATTTGCACAAACGCTATGAATTAAAGATATATTGATACATGTAAATAGTGAAAGACACATCCCATGACCTAAGGCGGAGATTGACCCAAGTTGACCTATCAGAACCTATGACCTATGAGAGACTGACAAATAAAACAGAACAAATGAGTTTTTGTAAGTTCCTGTTAAGCTCAAGCATGAGACAGAAGCTCGTCCAAATGACAGGAGTAAATAGGCTGGTTGGTCTGTTAAAACCTGAGGATTACAGAGTGTGAAGTCTCTCGCCTCCGGCTTTCTCAGACACAGGTCAAGCCAGGTCAAATACAATGAATGTTGTAAAAATAAAAGAGAGGGAATGTATATCAGTTCTATAGAAAAGGATTCACAACATGCTTTTGAAACTTTCTTTTTTTAAGTCTAAGGTTAGAATTTACTGTGTACTCACACGTATACACACATGTACACACACACACACATAAGGAATAGAGGAGAGAGAGAGAGAGAGAGAGAGAGAGAGAGAGAGAGGAGAGAGAGAGAGAGAGAGAGAGAGAGAGAGAGAGAGAGAGAGAGAGAGAGAGAGTTAGATAGATAGAAGATAGATAGATGGACAGACGGGCAGATTACAACGATAAATCAATAGAATATAAAATGCATCGATAGATAATAGGCAGATAGATAGATAGATAGACGGATAGATAAACAGTTTATAAAAATAAACAGATAGACAGATAGACAGAGTAGACGATAGAAGATATGATTATACTACAGATAGAATAGAGCTAGACCAGACAGGAATGAGGGATATAGATAGATAAGATATAGATAAGATAGACTGTACAAGATAGATAGATAGATCATATGATAGACAGATAGCCATATATACAGATAGATAGATATAATAGAAATATAATAGGACAGACAAATAGAAGACAATAGATACTAGACAATAGACATAGGCAGATTAGATATATAGACAGATAGACATAGATATATGGACAGATATATAGACAAAGACATACAAATGGATAAATTGATAGAGGACAGATATATAACTAGATAGAAATATATGGAT